ATGTTGGCTTCATAGAAAGTATGTGGTAGTTTTCCTTCTTTTTCAATTTTTTGGATGAGTCTATGTAGAATAGGCACTAGTTCTTTTCTGAACTTTTGGTGAAATTCATTTGTAAATCCATCTGGTCCTGGACTTTTATTTTTGGGGAGGGTTTTAATTAGTTCTTCAATTTCCTTGCTTGTGATTGGTCTGTTTAGTTGTTAGTTGTTCTATTTCTTCTTTATCTAGCTTTGGGTGGCTATAGAGTTGTAGGAATTTCTGCTAAATTGTCGAACTTGTTTGCATATAGTTGTTCATAGTATTCTCTGCCTATTCTTTTGATTTCTGCTGGATCTGCTGTGATTTCGCCTCTGTCCTTTATGATTATGTTTATGTGTGCTTTCTCTTGTTTTTTCTTTGGCTAGTAGCCTGTCTATCTTGTTTATTTTTTCCAAGCACCAACTTTTGGTTCCGTTGTTTTTTGGACTGTTTTTCTAACATCCATTTCATTTACTTCTGATTTGACCTTATTATTTCCTGTCTTCTACTGGCTTTTTGGTTATTTTGTTGTTCTTTTTCCAGTTCTTTAAGGTGATAAGGCTGTTTGAGTTATTTCTTGTTTCTTTATGTGAGCCTGTAATGCTACATATTTTCCTCTTATAACTGCTTTTAATGTGTCCCAGAAGCTTTGGAGGTTTGTGTCGTTGTTGTCATTCTTCTCCAGGTATTTTTTAATTCTTCTTTGATCTCCTCATTGATCCAATGGTCCTCCAGTAGTGTGGGTTTCAGTCTCCACGTGGTAGGTGGGTCTCTTGTCTTCATATGGTTTATTTCTAGTTTGATTCCTTCATGGTCAGAGAAAATAATTGGTATGATTTCGATCTTAGTGTATCTGTTGATACTTATCTTGTGACCCAGTCTGTGGCTAACCCTAGAGAATGATCCATGTGGATTTGAGAAAAATGTGTACTCAGATTTTTGGGGGTGCAGTATTCTACAGATTCTGCTAGACCCATGTTGTCCAGGTCCTTTTTCAGAGCTTTAGCATCTTTGCTTATATTTTGTCTTGTTGATCTGTCAGTTGTAGAGAGTGACGTGTTGAAGTCTTCTACTTATGTGTGCATTATCTCTGATATATGTTTTCATAGATGACAATAGTTTCCTGATAAATTTTGGTGCTCCTTCATTTGGTGCATATATGTTGATGATTGTTATTTCTTCTTGTTGTATCGTCCCCTTAATCATAATGTAGTGGCCTTCTGTGTCTCTTTTAACCTCAAAGGGTTATTTTTAAAAGTTGAATTATATATTCATATTTAAACATTTACCGAAAAACAGTCAAGCTTGTTATAATGAACATCAGTATGTTTGAAATCAGGCATGTTTGTCAGTGTAGTGTTACACTGGCTTTCACATTCAATTATTTAATTTTTAAATTTATGCATACAGAAATGGGGTATAGGCCAGAGGTGCAGGTGTGGTGAGAGTATTCACCAGAGTCAGAGTGAGGAGCAAAACAGGCAGTTTAAGGAATTACACTGCTGAGGGGAGCAGCTTCCCAGACAGTGGAGGTCTGCTAGGTCATGTGGATCACCTCTGGGTTGGGGATGGAACTATCATGGAAACCTAGGAGGCCAGCTTCACAGTGCTGCACCCCAACCTGCTGCACCAGCATGGAGGGCCTATTTATTTGATTTTTAATAAAGCTATTTTAATATATATAGTATAAATTATAATATTTTAAAATAGGGAGGTAAAGTTTAGTCTGTGATATATAAAAATCTAATATAAATTAATGCTCACAAATTTGATTTGTAATTTGTAAATGTTTGATTCAGTACATTTGATTACATGTTTTTAAACATATAGTTTAAAATAGTGAACTATATTTTGAAAAATAAAATGGAAACAAAATTTTTTGGCTGTTCTGAGGAAACTGGCTTAAAAGTCTTAACAGTGATAGAGGACTATAGCTATTATACCTATAGTGTTATTAGTGTTGGGAAAACTATGGTGATTGAACCTAAGGGAAGAAATCTATACTATGAAAAGCAACCAAGAATGTGAAATATATGTCATTAATAGGTAAATAAAGTGAATATTCAATCAAAACCTTGAAAGAATAAAAATTAATAGTTCAGTTGGCAACATTATAAATTGTCATTTTTGGATTGGATGGGCTTGCTCTGAGATTTGAATCATAGTGATTAATGAACATTTAGTTGTCATAGCATTCTCTAAATACTTGTCATTTGAATCACTGACTAACTTCTGTAGTACATGTAGTAAAAATTTAAACAAATATTTTGCCTATAGAGTGTTCTGCTAAATAATAGTTTGAACCATAGTCTGGATCAAAAATAAATAGACTTAGTTGTTTCTTGGAGTAGTATGAAGTTATTTTTAGGAATTCCTAAATGTGTTTTATACAGTGCATATATTTGTACATTGTATAAATACATTAGGAGCTTCTAAAATAGGTTCTTTGTTTTGAAGGTCACTTATCAGAAATTAGTCTGAGTTTGTCACAGCCATTGACTATTTAAATAATTAAGTTCTATTCAACTGAGTCATGCACTTTCAGTAAGAGTACCTTGAAAGTCTTATAAAACTAGGTCATTCTGACAAAAGGGATATTAAGACAGAATCCAATTAATTCATGTTTCCTCTTCAGATGTGAAATGTTTCTTAATGTATATTATTGTATTATAATGTATTTATAAACTGTGAACATGTAATTTTTCAAATTACTATTACTGTGTGGATGTATTTATTTAGTAAATATTTAGGAAGTATTTGCTGTTTATCAGGTTTTAATAGAAAAACAGAAAAATTTACATAAGCACAAACAAAAGCCAGATATCACTCTATAATTTTACTTTCCAAGGATAACCACTATGACATTTATTGTTGTACATCTACGACCATTTTTGCTATATAGCCATTGCTTTTCCAATATATAATACTTAATAAAATGAAATTACTCCCATTTTACTGTTTAATTACTTGCTTCTTTTCATGTTTATATTTGAAAGATTACGGAAAGGTTATGGTAAGTACTTTTTATTTAAAAATTTTAAATTAAGTATCCTTTTAAATTAGAAATAAATCAAACTAACAGCACTTTCTAAATCAGAGACTCTCCTTTTTCACTGCTTCTTATATATTAACTCCTCCAGTCCATTTCCCATTTTATAGAGATATCAATGCATTGGTCACCAAAATCACATAGTGAGCAGCAGAAATAGATTCAACCCCGACCTCATGACTCCATGATTCATATCTGAACAACTCTGCATCATAGCTTTTCTGGTAACTGGTTGTTTTTGTTTTTAATTCAAGCACATTTCATGTGATTTACAGAAAAAAAAAATGATTTTAGTGTGAAATTATTGGTTGTAACATATATTATGCTGTTTCTCTGTTCTGCAAAAACATGTAAATCTTAGCGATTGAGATATAATTTGTTGATCCACATTATTCGTTGTAATACATACAATAGAATTTTGTTTCACTATGCTGCAAACATGTAAATTTTAGCCAGTGAGATGTAATTTCTTACCCAGCCAACATTAGCATCTCGCGTTACACATTCTGGTCAGTACTCCCTCACCCCACTCATTTACCATGTCAGTTTCCCAGTGGGTGCCTAAGTATAGGGGCAATGAGGGGTGCTGGTGCTGCTGCTGGCGGGGGTGCTGGCTGGGGGGGGGGCTGCTGGCTGGGGCTCCTGCCTTGTGGCGGGGCGGGGCCCTTCTCTTGCTGAGTGCTGAATGCAGTCGGGAAGAAGGACTGTGTAATCCGCTGGGTGCGGACCAAGGCGCTCCCATTCCCGTCGGCTGCCAGCCCATTGGCTGTGCGCGAGCACACGTGACGGACATGTGGCTGTATTGGCGCAGCCAGCCTGGGTGTCACTGGAGATGGAATGGAGGTGCTGCTGGACTCGGAAATGGGGTAGGTATTGGAGCCACGATGGCCAGCATTGATGCAGCTGAGGGGGGTAGGGGATTAATTTCCCCTTACACGGTTTGAAACTAGTGACCTTTCCTTGTCATAGGATCCTCTGCCACAGAACAAGTGAGGAGGCAGGGGCGTCTCCCTCCCACTCTCCTACTGCAGCTCGGGAAATGGATTTCCTGTGCTTCTGATCGAGGGGTTTTGACAGGAAAGGAAAAAGGGGGGGGGAGGGGTAGGAGTGTCGAGCAGAGTCTGGTGAGAAAGAGCTGTTTTTTAAGCTAGGAGGTTTTGCTTTTATAATGCCTGTTGACAAGTAGAGTGGAATAACAGTATCTAAGGAAACGAGTAGAGGACAACAAAGAATGGAGCATATTCATGACAAGGAGCTCTAGTCATTGAAAGGCTTCTTTTCGTCCCTGGCCACAAAGATACATACAGTGGTAGTCAAGAGAGAGGATACAAAGCTGATGATGACTGATGTGAATCCAGTGAAAAGGACTATTATTGGGAAAAGAGGATGAAGAGGCAGGATGAAGAGGCAGGTACTGCGGAGCTCAAGTGGTGATTTTGGTTAATTGGTGAAATTTTGGTCACCAAAAGTACCTGCTTTTTAAAAATGTTTGAGAGAACTCCCTGTGAATAGGGTGGCTAGGAGATGCTAGTGTCTTTGTTAGTTACAAGACGCAGTGGTGGCTTTTGCAGATGACTGCAGCAATGCGTTTCTCCCGCTATTAGACTGAACAGCACTGCAGGGCATTAAGAAACCTTGCAGTGAAGCTGGTATAAGTCCATTTGCAAGAAACCGTAATTTATGATTGCAGCCCAATCAGAAAAAAATGTTTTTTTTTAAAGCAGGAAAAATATCAGACTTTGAATGCTTTGACTATGAAATGTATGGGACACTTGATTCTGCATCACAAAAGAGATGCTCAGATTCTTTGCTTCTAAATCCTCTTGGAAATCTTAATAAATTATGCATGAAGCAGCAGTTCTTGTCCTTTGTTGGTGTAGCTTTATGGCAATAATTAGGTTATTCAATAGTAAATTACTTTTAATATAAATTACTTTGTGAGAATTATGATAAATTTTCATAGGGTTAATATTTAAGCGCTGTATTAAATAATTTTATATTCATTGCTTACTTCCTGATACCACTAAATAAAGTCTATAGGTGAATATTTTAAAGCACTACACCCTTTCTTTGAAAGAGAGTTCTGTTTACTGAATTCTCTATTTTTGATATAAAGTGTTTTCATTACATTTATTTTCTCCTTAAATATCTAAAAACATGTTTTTTGATTGAGTACAGTTTGAAGTACTTATCTTTCTACATATTTCTGATAGCCAGCCTGCTACACCTCCTTACTCATTGAGTAGGATGGCAGTGACTTTGTGAAGTCCCCCAGGAGCATAACAGTGTCTCTTAAATAGTGCTAATGTATAGAAAGTTTTATAGAATCTATAATTTTGGTCTAATTCTTCATTAAACCTGAATAAATAAAGACTGGGTAAAGTTTTCATTAATAAATTCAAGCAATTTTATTCTTTATTTAAAATTTCTGCATTAGAAATCCCTTGAATATGGGTATCAAAATTAACAGAACTTTAAGATCTGTTTTAAAATCTGATGGAAGCTACAGCTAGAATTAAAGATGTCACATTAAAATTTTAAATGAAATTGTTAATACTACTCAATCTTTCAACTCCAATTAATGTACTCTGAGGACTTATAATTCTTGCTTTTAAATATATTATCTCACTTTGCCTTTTTAGCAATTCATTGTAGCATTTTTTGTTTGTTTGTATTTAATGTTAGAGTATTCCTAGTTAGGTGTGTTGTGACCTTATCCAAGGTCATGTATAAAGATGTAATGAACTTAAGTCATCTGTTTTATTTTGGGTCCATAAAACTGTTTTGTAATGTAATTACTTGAAAAGCTATAATCATTGACAAGTCATTCATCAAAAGTAATCTTACTTGGTTATAGGTTTTTAACTATGTTGGAAGAACGCTTTGTAAATTATTGCTAGTAAGCAAGTAGAGGGAGAACGGTTTTCATAACAACATCCACAATATAGTCTTTTTAAATTAAATGTTTATTTTACATCACTCTTCATTTTGTGCATTTTTTCATCTTGGTTGAAATCCCTGTGAACTTTCCACCACCAGTTCACCCATGTGCCACTTGCCACTATCATAGTCCGTGCACTCTTCCTACCCGAGTTTTGATCCTATTCCCCTTTTCACCCCATTAAAATAACTCTGGTTTATAGCTGTTCGTTGTTTTTTACCTTTTTACTTTATTACGATTGCTTTTTTCCTCCCGATCCCTTACATTCCTGCAAAGAGTGTGGTATTTTTCTTTGTCTTTCTGGCTTATTTCCGTAAGCATGATCCCTTCCAGCTCTACCCGTGTTCCTGCAAAAGGCATGACTTTATCTTTTTTGATTGCTGAGTAATATTCCATTGTTTATATGTACCATATCTTCTTAATCCAGTCATCTATTTTTGGATATTTGGGTTGATTCCACATCATCCCTATTGTAAATAGAACAGCAATAAACATAGGGTTGCAGGTGTCCTTTTGAGTCAGTTGTTTTGTGTCTTTGGGTAGATACCTAGGAATGGGATTGCTGGGTCATATGGAAGCTCCATTTTCAGCAGTTTGAGAGAACACCAAACAGCTTTCCATAATGGTTGTACCAGTTTGCATTCCCACCAGCAGAGCAGGAGAGTTCCTTTTTCTCCACATCCTCACCAACATTTGTGGTTGCTAGTTGTTTGGAGATGTGCCATTCTCACTGGGATGAGGTGGTATCTCATTGTGGTTTTAATTTGCATTTCCCTTATTACGAGTGATGTTGAACTTTTTTTCATATACCTGTTGGCCATCTGCATTTTCTCTTTGGAGAAATATCTTTTTAGCTTTTCTACCCAGTTTTTGATGGGGTTGTTCACTTTATTTTCATTCAGTTTCATCAGCTCTTTGTATATCTTAGTGATCAGTCCTTTATCATTAGTATTTTGTGAAAAAGTTTTCTCCCAATTAGTGGTATGTAATGTCTCTTTTGCTGTACAGAAGCACTTTAACTTGATGTTTATCCTTTCCTCCACTATCCTTGCTTTGGGTGATATATCTTTAAAGATGTTACTGAGGTATATGCCATGTAGTGTTTCACTGACATTTTCTTCTAGGTATTATCTGATTTAGTGTCTTATGTCTAGTTCTTTAGTCCATTTCTAGTTGGTTTTTGTGCATGACATCCACAGTATACTTTTAAAATACCATTTTGTTACTCATATGAACAATCCTAAATAGAACATAGATATTTTTCATCATTAAGAAATAAACAAAACTAAAGTAAAGACAGTTGGGTTTTTTAACCTTTATAGCATGAAATATGTAATACAAGACTAAACTATTTGACTTTAGTGGTCTGTAAATGGCTTGTTAGTAATTGATAACTGCTATAATTGAACTATTAAGGAATTCAAAAGTTAAATATTTGTGAGCCTCTGTACTGAATCAAAAGTTGTTTTGATGATTTGTGCATTAATTGCTTTGTAGAATTTTACCTAATATTCTAGGGTTTTTAGGTTACTAATTTCACGTAATTTAAAGTCATTTCATGTTAAATGACCTCTTTAATTTTGACCTCCCCCAGCTTTTCTGAAAATTGTCTGAATGAAACTTTATAGAACTCAAAAGGGTGAGAGAGGTATTCTGATTTAGAGAAAATGGAAGATATTTGAGGAAATACATTCACTACTATTGGGTACCTATTAAAAGCCAAACCTGTGAAAGGTGTTGTAGAGTTAAGTAAGACATGAAAACTTACCTCTAGGAGACTTAGTAACAGAAAGGTGTCAAATGTTATTCCCAGCTAAACACAGACTGTATTGCCGATTCTTGGATCTTTCAAGGTTTACATCATCTGAAATATCATCTAATTTAAAGGAATAGAGTTATTTGCTCTTTGAAGTACTGTGCTTTATTGTAAAATCTGTTTGGAATCATGGGTTACATTACCATGAAGTATTTAGTTTCATGAATGTAAAATGATAAGATTAGATGAAGCAATTTCTGGACCTTCTATTTCTATAGTCAATAGTCTGGTTCTTGATTTCTGTAGGGCCAAATTTCGATGAAAAGGTTCACCAGCTGTTGTTTAGATAGCGGTGGTATTTTACATGTGAAGAAATAGATCTTGAATTTTTTCTTTCTGTAAAACAAATTGTTACATCATCAGGCTGTTGCCATATTGTAGTATTTTCTTGGAACCCTGCTCTTTGGTCCAGCAGATGAGAACAAAGCCATTTGCACAGACTTAAATGAGAATTTCCAACACACTGTATACTATTGAAATCAGCTGCTAGTAAACCAGCTTTTCAACCCACAGTAATGACGAAAAAGGCAAATAAAGAAGATTTTTTAAAAAGATTAATTTATTTATGCTTACAGAACTGGGATACAAGCCCGAGGTGCAGGGGGGGTGAGAGGATCAGAGACAGAGTAGGGAGCAGAACATGCTGATCGACCATGTACACTGCTGAGGGGAGCATCGGGCGGGTCAGTAGAGGTCTGCCACACCATGTGGATCACTTGTGAATGGCCAGGGATTGAACTTGCAGTGAAAGGGCTGCAGCTGGGGCTAGCTTGCAGTGCTGCGTCTTTACCTGTTTCACAACCAGGGAGGGCCAATAAAGATTTTTACCAAGCCATCCTTGCACCTCTGCAATGCATTCTTTAGAAAGGAAGGATTAGAAACTGCAGCACATAGATAACATCAGCATATCTTTAGGGCCAGACAATTTAGAACCAGAAGCACCCTACCCCACAACTCTCCACGCTGTCATGAATAATTACACTTTGATTGTCAATCACTCAATTGTTCTTGCCTTTACAGATTAGTACCTGCCGAACTGCTTCCAGGGTTCAGTTCCTCATTTTGTCTTTGTCTAACTATTAGTGAGGTTTACAAGTTCATATAATGCA